AAATGTCTTGAGATAAAGAGACTCGGGCTGTATCAGGGGAGAGGTCAACATCTGGGTTGGCTGAATGAGCACAGTGGGGTGGGGGAGGGGAGAGCAGGGCAATGATGATTATTCCTTTCATCTTTATGACTGTGGCCACCTTTGCAAATCACAGTACCTGCAGGTTGTCACTCATTATTAAGACAAGACTGACAAAGAGGAAGGAGGCTGGTCTTACTTTTGAATGAATTTTTATTGGAGTAAGGCTTTATCTGGTGGCTCAGAAGGTTAGGAATCCACATGCGATGTGGGAGACCCGGGTTTGACCCCTGGGCTGGGAAGATCTCATTGGAGTAGAGCTGTTTTACAGTGCTATGTTTGTTTCTGCTGTATGGCAAAGTGAATCAGCCATACATGTATCTCCTCTTTTTTTAATTTCCTTCTCATTTAAGTCCCCATAGAGCACTGAGTCGAGTTCCCTGTGCTATGCAGCAGGTTCTCATTAGTTATCTATTTTATACATAGTAGTGTCCATATTAACATGTCAATCTCACTCTCCCAATCCATCCCATGCCTCTTTTACCCCCTTTATGTCCATGCATTTGTTCTCTACGCCTGTGTCTATATTTCTGCTTTGCAAAGAGGTTCATCTGCACCATTTCCTAGAGTCCACATATGTGTGTTAATATACAATATTTGTTTTTCTCTTTCTGACTTACTTCACCCATATGACAGTCTCTAGGTCCATCCATGTCTCTGCAAATAGCACAATTTCATTCCTTTTTATTGTCCCATTGTATATATGTGCCACATCTTCTTTATCCATTCCTCTGTTGATGGACACCTAGGTTGCTTTGATGTCATGGCTGTTGTGAATAGTGTTGCTATAAACATTGGGGTACATGTATCTTTTGGAATTATGGTTTTCTCAGGGTATATGCCCAGGAATGGTATTGCTGGATCACATAGGAAAGAAGCTGAACTTGAAGGAATTTGACTTACATAGTGTTTCTCAATTGTGACTGCACAAGTGAATTATTGGGTGAGCTTTGAAAGATAGTGGTGTCATGTGTGGTTCAGGAGAGTCTGACTTACTTGTGCTGGGGTAGGGGGTGGGGCATCCATCTTTTTAAATGGCTCCTAGTGATTTTTATAGGAACAGGGTTGGGAATGTCCGGTTAGGAGAATGTAAGGTTAAAAGGCTAGACATAATTGCGACTCATGTGTAAGGGTCTCCTCAGGAGTGAAAACACGCCAGCCATGTGTCCGCCTGTTGCCTTGCCTTAGACAATTTAACTCTTTTTTTCATATCCCAAAAAATGCATTCACAGCACAGTTCTTAAATCTACAAACACACATAGTACATTCATTCTGTTCTGGAAAGAGTAAAGACTAAAGGTGCGGGAACTTCCCTCTTGGTCCAAGGGCTAAGTCTCTGTGCTCCCAATGCAGAGGACCTGGGTTTGATCCTTGGTCAGGGAACTAGATCCTTCGTGCTGCAACTAAGACCCGGCATAGCCAATTATATATATATATGACTAAAAGGGGAAAGTCCATTACTAAACCAGTAACTATCAAATTATCTCCTGTTTCAGAGAAAAAGTCCTTGATCTTTTATTATGGTAGGAAAGCAACATTTATTGAGGACACTTGATTGACAGTTTTCACATTGGCATTGGGGGGGGTTCATATAGGTTTTCTCATGAGAAAGAAACCTAGTATACTTTTACAAAGTAAAGCATCAAACTGACTGCTACACTGGAACCAAAGAAGACCAGGTCAGCCTTGGGCAACATTGGATGGAGGTGGCAAAGGGGCTGGTGGTTGCCAACGGCTGGAGGGAAGGGGAATGGGAGGTTGTTCATTGATTTGGGGTTTCAGTCTCACAAGATGAAAGAGTTCTGTGGATGGATGGTAGTGAGTGTAGTAAAACAAAGTGAATGTTAACACCACTGAATTGTGTGCGCCAAAAAGGTTAAGATGGTAAATTTTATATTATGTATATTTAACTGTAATTTTAAAAATAAAAAATAAATTCATCCACATAAAGTGTGAAATTCAATGGTTTATAGTGTATCTACTCTAGAGTTATGCAGCCATTGCCATAATCTAATTTTAGAATATTTCCATCACACTCAGCTCCACCCCACCCCACCTCCAAAAAAAAAACACACACACAAAAACCCCTTATACATGTGAGCAGTCACTTGGGAGAGATATTTTTAACAGATCATGGGTGTCATGTGTTATTCTTCCGGAACTTGACTTCATAGACTCTTAGAAGTGACTTAGAGACTTTAAGTCCAATCTCTGCAGGTGAAGAAATTGAGGCTCAGAGAAGCAAAGCATCTTGGCAAAGGTTACAGAGCAAATTCATTGGCGGAGGCAAGGCTTCTGATTTCCCACGGAGTTGCTTTTCCCAATACAAAAATGCTGTGTCATTCACTTTCTTTGGATTGTTGCTGACAGTGGATTGAAGGTATCAAAAAGATGCTACCCTTTTCCGTTGTGGACACAGGGGCTCTTTCTCCAGCCTCTCATCTTACCCACCTGAATCGGGAAGTACAGAGTAGACAGGAGAGCGCAAAAATCTGTGGTGGTGTCCGGTCATGCTTCCTTATGCCTTAACACTATTAGGGAGGAGCTATAATGAATTTTATGGAGAATAATGTCACAGCCTCTCTTAGAAGAATGATTAGAAACACAGCCAGGTGCGGGGACTTTACTTTTGAAAGATGTTGCGTTTTGCTGTGGCAGCAAACAGAGCACCATGTGTCAGAGATGCCAAGGTTTGGGGCTGGCAGCGGAGGTCATTACCTCTCTTATCATTGTGTGATTATTGGGAAAGAGCAGAGGAAGTGGGTTGAGGCTTCTATACATCCTGCTGTCTTCGCCTTCTTGTCTTTCTACTTTCAGACTTAGCAGAGCCTTGGCCAGGGCAGCAGCTGGATGAAAGTTGGGATTTGGAGTGGGGTGGAGGACGAACTTGGTGAGCTCCTTGAAGCACCGTGGCAGTCCTTATTTCCTAGAGGGCTGGTGGAGAGGGCGCTGAGGTTGCTACATGTGGGGAATGAGGCTAGGGAGACTCACACAGCTACAGACTTAGACATATCTAGATCAAGTCCTGAAACCTACTCCAGGCACTGTTTGGGTCTCTTTTGTCTTCTGCCTTTTGGTCTTTCTGGGAATTTGACGTACCCTCCTCCTTCCTGGTTACCACCCTAACTCACCCCAGGATGATGTACACCCCCGGGAGTGTTTGGAATTTCTCCAGCCAGGCTATTCAAGAGGTAGGTACTCTAAACTTCCTGAGGGTTGCCATCATGATAGACACACCTGACTGGAGAGATTGCTGGGAGAATGACACAGGCTCCTAGCCAATGGAGGACACTGCCTGTATTAGTCATCTATTAAACTTCCGGTGCCTCGCCGAGGGCCTGGAGGGTTTGCTGAATGAATAAGTAGTAACATTTCACATCAAACGATGCATATTATTTACAAAGTGATTTATTTCCCATGCATGGACTCATCCTCACAACTGCCCCTACTTGACCTCTGGAAGGTAGGCAAGACTGTTTCACAGATGAGGTCACAGAGCTGGAGGTTGGAGAGGTGGCTTTCAGATACTTAAGTCTGTTGGCATTTTTATACAGGTTATCTTATTGAGATGGCCTTTCCTAAAACAAGCGTCACAGAGCTGAGGGTTGGAGAGGTGGCTTTCAGATACTTAAGTCTGTTGGCATTTTTATACAGGTATCTTATTGAGATGGCCTTTCCTAAAACACTCAGAGAACTAAGAAAGATATGAGTCAGATAGACGTTTGCGGTCTCTGCATTTCATTCCTAAATCTAGGGTAGACATATTCTTCATCTAAGTCTCTCACTGATAGTATTATTTTCTGTTGTTTGCTAATCGCTGCAGGTGTATAAGTTTTCAAAAACATTCTGAGTTAAGTGCCGATTTCAGGGCTAGCCTGGTAAACTCGTGTCACCCCATGTGGTTTGGCATAGGTAGCTGTTTCCTGATAGAGATTTTGCATCATACACTATTGTATCTAACACAGTTTTTGGTTCACACACTATTGTCTTGAATGTAGTTTTGGGTAATTTCGATTAACTGGATTGTAGTTTTATGGCCCTGGGTCGTCAAGAAACACATGTTCAAACATTCTCCCTGCTTAATGATATCCTTACTCTTGCTGAACTTCTAGGACCTTATTGGAAATCAATGATTGCTTCTGATCCTCCAAATGTATTGTTGAGGAGAGACCTAGATGAAATCACTATATGAAATGCTTTGAGATTGCAGGATGTGGAGAGCGCGCTGTCGTTAAAATGAATGATTCTGCGTGGAGGTAAACCATGTTTTAAGTCTGCGAGTATATTGTGCATGAGGGAATTTCTCTGTGCAGAATCATTTCCCCCCCAGTAATTCGCAGGATCACAGCCCTCCTGGCAGCAGGTATCTCCCTACACTCCTGGGCAGTCGCCGGGCTAGAGCGAGCTTCCCTCTCCTAGTAACTGTTGCTAAGAGGGGCGTGGCCTCGGAGTCCGGCTTGAACGCGTTTGGTGTCCCGCTCCCCACCCCCACCCCCACCGCGTAGACTACATTTCCCGTGATGCTCTAGGGTGGTCTCCGTAGTGACGCACTCGGTGTTCGCGGAAAGGGGGGTGGTGGGGAGAAAGAGGGCGGGGGCGGTGTTTGCGAGGAAGGTAGGAGGGAGGGGGCGGCGTGCTCTCCGCGGGCCCCCGACTCGCGCTCCAGCAGCTGCCGCCGCCGCCGCCATGTTGGTTTGAGGGGTGATGACAGGAGGCGGCTGCGGCGTCGGGGACTGAAAAGTGGAGGAGGAGGAGGCAGAGGGACGGAGCTCTGAGAGGAAACGGTTCCCGGGCTGAGGAGAGGAAGGACCCGGCCTCTTCCGGGGTCCGGCCGAAGTCGGCGTCGCAGGGAGCTCGCGAGGCCGGGGAGGGGAGCGGAAGGCGGAGACGGTGGGGGGGAGGCGCAGGCGGAGGAGGCGGGAGAGGAGCGCTGGGAAGCCGGAGACGATGCGCCCCGAGCCCCGCGGCTGCCCGGAGGCGCCCGCGGCCTGAGCCCCGACGGGCCGTGGGGGTCTCACTCCTGGCGGGCCGAGCGCCCCGCGCTCCCCCCCACCCCCAACCCCCCGCTCGCCGCCCCGGGCTCTCCGGCCCGGGCTAGCGCTTCGGCTGCCAACGAGTTAAATGCCCTTGAGCGCGGGTTTCCGCGGCCCTGGCCGCGCGAGTTGAGAGCCGTTTGCCCGCACCGGTCGCCGGGGACACGTCCATGTGTAGCCACATAAGTTCTCTGTGTGCCGCGGCGCCCGGGTATCCTCCTCCCGCTTCATGAGGACTCGACTCGGGAGCGGCTGTGAATCACGGCGGGGCTGGGAAAGGAGGAAGGCGATTTAACCCCCTCCCACCCCGCTCCATGTCCGTGTGTCACTCGGCTCGGTCCACCTGGCGTGGCCGGTCCTGGCGCTGCTGCTGCCGCTGCTGCTGACTTCAGAGACCCGGGAGTTGCTCCGCTCCGGCCACAGCTCTGCCGGCGATTGTTCCTCTGCGCCCGGCCAGGCCGGCACTTCGGCTCGGAAAGAACTTACTGTTTTATTTTAAAAAATTATTTTTGGAGAGCACATCTCGAACTAATTAAGATCTTGAAGATTGATTTCTGTTAGCTCGAAGACTTTTTTTTTTTAATTTGTTGTCTTAAAAAATTTTCTTCTTCTTTGCGTAAACATCTGGGTATATGTCAAACGCCAAGATGTCCAGTAATGTCCCGGCGGATATGGTAAGTGAAGGATTAAGAGTTAACGACAGCCTTTGATTTAATTGTGGTTTCCAATCTCGTTTAATCAAAAAGGATGCAGGCGTAGGGTGAAGGTTTGCGGGGTGGGGGTGGGGAAGCCACGGTGCTGGGAGATTGTGGAAGAAGTTGGAGGGTCTGGTGTCGCTCTCGTTGAAAGCGCTGCTTTTAATACGAATCTTCTCACTTGGTTGCGTTTTCTAAATGGTTAAAGACAATGGAGAAGTTGGGAACATGTAGCAAGGTGCCTTGAAGTGGAGAAAAATCTCTTCCGCTTTGCTAGAAGCCTCTGAATACTTGTGTCTGAAAGCTTCTGAAAACGACAGAGCTGAGGCCGGGTGTCCCTGCTAGATACAGAGGTGGGCAGGAAATGGGGATCTTGCCCTGTGACACTGGTCATGGATGCAGTAGGTGCAAGCCGGGTATTTCCAAGAAGTGGGGACGTCTTATCTCTTAGAAACTCGGCCAGGATTTGCTGTGAGCTTTTTCGAAACGTTTGGGAGAACAAGTACGGCGACAGAAATAGACGTTTTGGAATGTTCACAAATCCAGGCTGACTGTATTTTGGTACTTTTAATGAATATTCCAGGACTTTTAGTACCAAATACTTAGTAGTATGACATCACTGGGCTTTTAAAGGCTAATAAAACACATTATTGATTGAACCTTGATCCTGGAATGTTAAGAACTGGAAACCAAAGTACTCTTGTTTACTGACGCTTTTCTTTTTGTTCATGAAGAAGGTTAAGCTTATGAGACTGTTGATTAACAGGAACCGTGTAGGCTTACAGCGCTGGGAAGGTGGGTTTGTGTGAGGTGAAATTACTGTTTGCTGTTCTGGGGACAAACGTAATGCAATTAACAGGAAGGAGAATAATCTCCTTTATGAAAGAATTGAAGTTAACCTAGTTATGCTCTTATATACGAAGTTAACATTTGAGCATTTGTATATTTCAGTGAAAAAACAAAATTGAACTTTGCTGAGGATTAAATTTTAAAATGTCAGAGGTTTCAGTTAGAATGAACCCCATTTACGGGCTGTAAAATTAAATGGCTCTAAATGGCATATTTTGACCTTGGTTTAAAGACATTTTGCTTGTGTTTGATTTCCCTTTCAGTGAGCTGTTTAAATGCAAAGGAACCACAATATTCCGTCTCCTGGGTGGCCACAGAGCAACCCAACTCTCTCCTTCCTGAGTCCTAAAACTCCAGCATTGTCCTTTTAGTTTTCCTTTCCCTTACACACCGGAGGATAGTCTCCTGCCGGCTTAAGGGTAGCCAGACTGGATTTCCTTCACCCTCTTGGTGAAGTCGCCTGGATAGGTCTCTGGATGGAGCAGGAAAACCCTCTTTACCGGATGGATACTCTGTGGGCTCATACCCTCCAGCAAAGACTCGCTCTCTGGCCAAAACCTCCATCTTATATCATCATGCACACTGTGCGGTATGATCACCTTACGTACTATGTGTCTGTCACAGAAGTTGTCGTGCAATAGATCTGTGAGATTAAAACAGTGCAACAACTTTCTTTATTTAGGCCCAGTGACAAGAAGGAGCTGAATGTGCGTAGCTTCACTCGCAAATTGGGGTGATTTGGAGAATACCGTTTCCAAGTCACAGAGGAGGTTTGGAAGCTAGTGTTCGGATCAGGGTGCCGGGAAGGGATGGCAAGGTTGTATTAATAGCTGTAGTTATCAAATACAAGTGTTTCTGTTCAGGACTGTATTTTAAGGCCTTGATGATTCTGTGGTGCTTTGAGATCCCTTGATTAAAGGTAATAGGCAAGGGCAAAGCAGTATTATGTAATAAACATATAATTCCTTGGTGATGCTGTTTCAGAGTGTGTCTAAGGTACAGCTCAGATTAGATGATTCTGAATAATTTTTATGTTTCATTTTCTAGCCATACAACTCGCTTGGAGGCCTTCAGTATTTTTTTCCAGCATTAAAACCTTTTAAACCGTCATTTGCTATTACTCATTTTGCATTTTTGTTTAAGTGTCTTCCTTTGATATGTACCTAGAATTACAGCTTTTTGAAATGTAACATGATAAATACTGGTTAGAGGTCGTGGACTCAATACTTCGTGTTTGTTCAAGTTTTCGTTATCAATAATTGACAATCTGCACTTACATTCTGACTTAAAGTGAGGAAAATGCCACCACTCTTGAAAAGCATCAGCCTTCTCAGCCCCACCTCTCCACAGTCTGATACTTCCCTTGAAGCATAACTCTAAATTGATTGGGATGCATATTCTTGCAAGTATGAACACATACATTTGCTAGATGCAGTAAGCATTTTAAGTTTCTCCTTGGTGACAGTGTGTGCTATTTAGAAACAAATGTTACGCTCTTTCACCTGTTAATGGTGCTTGTCAACTGTATAGGAAAATCCTATTTCGGAGAATAGGTGGGGCAGTGAAATTATAATAAACCCTGTCATGGTTTCAATAGAGATCATTCTTGATTTCTAATAATTGCTAAAGCAGTTGATGTTTTTGGTAAAGTCTCCTTATAACAATAATTGTGACTCACTTTTTAAAATCGATTCTTTTTTAGCATGACTTTTATTTTGTAAATATAACTAACATTTAAAATTTATTTTTAAACATTCAGTATATTTTTTTGTGTACCATAGGGGTCTCTTTTTCTTAGAATCCACATTTAGCAAGTCGGTCTTTTAGGGGAGGGTACGAATGGTAGGTACCCCTAGTGAATGGATTTGCTGTATTCTTTACAAAAAATAATTTGCAGTTAATACTTTTTCAGTTAACATTCTGTAAAGATGTTCTATAAATGGTATAAATGTATTTACTTAAAATGTTGACTTTTTCTTTGCTAAAGGTGATTGAGTTTGAATTGAGATTTACTGACATTTCAGTGTAATAACTAATTTGTGAGAAAAATCTGAAAATATCCTGAACCGAGTGTCATTAGAAAACATTGTATTTAAGTGATTCATTTTCCCCCTCAGCCCAAATCATAGCTCATGATGCGGCTGTATTCATTGTTTATACTTGTAACATGAATTATGTTAATGATTTAGGCTTTCTGAAAGAAAGTGTTTAGTCTATCAGTAATAAAGCCTAAGACTGGTTAGATAAGCTGGTAATTTCATTTCTGGATTTAGAAAGTTTTCAAGATGTAAAATAATATATTTATAAAATTATTATATAAAAATTGGAACTACTGTTTGGAACTATACTTTATGATATCTATAAAATTGAAAACCCTATGTAAGAGAGACATTGACAGTGTGAGAATAATGGCAAAGCAGTTTTGGTTATTTGAAGCATTCTAGGTGATAAAGAATCCTGTACCTTTTTAAGCTATGAATGTAAAATTGTAGCACATGTAACCATGTTTAGTCTGGGATTAAGTGAGCTAATGATAATTTGATTTTTTTCAGTGCTTAATAAGTATTTTTATTGTAATGTCCTATCTTTTTCCATTTGTGAAAGAAATATTGGAGCCCTCTAGTGGACAGGAAATTATTCAAATGGATTTCTTTTCAAAGTGAAGTTTTATCACTTTTGTAAGTTAAATGACAGATATAGAGTATACCAGGGGGAAAATATCATGCTCGAAAAAGGTATATCTCTTATGGTATATTTCTTTAAATTGTTTTACTTGAATGTGTCTTAAATTTGGTATCCTGAATTAGACATTTTTATTGAGAAAACAAATAGCACATTATTTCCCTCCAGTTTGAATGGCTTTTCCTTTCCAGCTCTGAATCCTACTCCAGCTCATGTCCCTCTCTTGTGAAACTGGCTTTTAGTCCATTCTAGTCACAGTGATCTTTCCTTCCTGTGAGCCATTTTCTGTCTATTTCATATTCTTACATGATGTCAAATTTACATGAACATATGTCTTGTATTTATTATAGCTACTGTAATTTCTAAAACATTTAAAAACTGTTGAGTGATTTTCTTGACTCATAAGGCGTTACTCTTTCTGTTATTTATGGGGAACATAAATATTGTCCCGTACTACTACTACTAATGGTGTTAAGCATGAAGTCTGTGATGTCTGATACTACTTTGAATATGAAAAATGTATTTTTAGTGTAGTTTGGAAGTTATTTTAAATTAGTGGATAAAATACTGATGGCTCTACTAGTTTTGATAACATGAAAGAGTAAATATGTTTTAGGAGACTGAACTTCAATAGGCTCTTTAAGAATTCCTCTCTTTCTGGAGGGGAAAATTGAAAGTGACTAGAATTCATGGTAACTGGAGACCCTGGGTAATAAATTATTCTGAATCAGTAAATTTTTTGGATACATGATCATTATTTTGGGGAATATCCCACTCTATTTTGGATTTCTGTCCTGTTTGCTTACATGTAATATGCAACACATAATTTAACTTACTTTTGGTGACTTAAAGCTGTCAGTTGAATAATAATGATTCAGTTCAATGAAATTCATTGACTGTTTCTCTGTAATGTACTGTCATTATTCTATAAACTACAGCATCTTAGTTCAGCATCTGATACAGCTTTTGAAGCTTTGTGCCCCTTCACTACGAGTAATTGGCAAAGTGAGATGAGGCAAGTCATTTGCGATTTGAGAATAAAAATATTAGAACTTCTAGTTTATTTTGTGCTCCAAAAAGAAGGAGAAATTGAGCTTTTTTTTTTTTTATTAATTCATGGATTGGGTCTGAAAAACCTCCAGACTTCTCTAGGTTCACTTTCTAATGAACATTTTCCTGAGGGACAGTATGAGAATTTTGTAATGTAGAGACAGCAAGACTATGAGTTTCTCATAGTTTTAGCAGTTTTTCTATGATAGTCTTTTATATAGGTACTTTAAAAATTATTTATGTTTGGCTGTGCTGAGTCTTCGTTGCTGCTCAGGCTTTTCTCTAGTTGCAGTGAGCAGGGGCTTCTTGTTGGCTTTTCTAGTTGCAGAGCACGGGCCCCAGGGTTCATGGGCTTCAGTAATTGCGGCTTCCGGGCTCTAGAGCACAGGTTTAATAGT